CCCTGAGTGTAGTTGTATTAAAACTGTCTAAAATTCTTTCCAGAATAAATAATCCCTGTTTGAGTTTGGTACATGCAAATAATACATACAATTGAAAACTGACTCTTCAACTTTCTTTTAATCTTGTTCCTTTCCTTCTATATATGGTAACTCCTCACTAGCAGGGATAAATTCTATTAACCATTCCACCAGGGAGACAGGAAAAATCAAAATATTAGTTGTGGCGAGTTAACATAACAGAGGCAATTACAGCTGTGCAGCTCTGTGTTGTGAGTGATCTCATTCACTTTCAGTTGCAAGAAGCACATAAATGTCCTAAGATGTTTTGCAACTGTTTTCCCCAAGAGAACAGTGTCTTGTTGGGGTCCTCCTGAGTGCTTTCTTTAGCAGTATTTTTGTAATGTAATGTTGGCAATGCAAGGAAAATATTCTTTCATAGAAACACTCAGCATGTTCCATGCAGCATGGTCCATGCTTTTTAAGTGTAAACATACAGTGGTTTGGGTTGGTTTGATTTTGTTTTTGTTTTGCTCATGTTGGTTTAACCCTTTCTAAAAGCTCAGTGCTGCTGACAGGTTTTATTCAGCTAGTTGGGAGCTAATTAGAGAAAAGGACACATAAGAATTCATGGTTTGTGGGGACAAAACAAGCACAGTAATTATGGTGCTCAGCTGCAAATGTGGAAGTTGTGAATGTTGGCCTGACTCCAAGGCCTCTTTCTTCTTGTATAAAAAATAGTCACTGCATAAATTACAGAAGCAAGTTTCCTTAGGTGTAAAGCATAATATTTTTCCTCTGTGTTTCAGGTGGTGGCCTGACTAATGCCAGTCCTGACTCCCAACTTCAGTGGCATACATTTTTTCCCCCTCAAAGAAAGCATCGCATTAGAGGTTAAAGTGTAAAGAATAGGGCAAAATTTCAGTTGACATCAAAAGAGCAACATTTCAGTTAAAATACTTCTGCACAGTGTAAAGTGCTATTGCTCAACTTCATTTCTTCCCTGCTGATCAAAACATTCATGCAGGAGACCACAGCTCAAGGCAGTTTTTATTCAAATCACAAGGTATTCCTCTGGGCATGTTTTCAAAAGGAGGAATGAACTGTGCCTGGTGATTTGAAGGTGTCATTGCAGACGTGATGACTTCTTTGTTAGTTGAAGTGAGCGGTGGGTAGATGCAGATGCTGCCTGACAACCCAGAGCAAGGCAAAGTCTGTGATGAGTGGGATCCCTAGGCATGCCCTTCTCCCAGATATTACCTGTTGGTTAGTTCTGAGTGGTTGTCCTTTCATGTATGAAATTTGTAGGTTGAAGCAGTTTTCTGAAGCATCCAACTTGGGAGAGGAAACTTTGGCATCTAGTTCTTCGGTTTGGCCTCTGTATGCTTTGCAGGTCTGCTACCTCAAGCAAAGGTGTTGTGGCACTTGTCATACATGCACATGCTCTTGGCTGAAGAATGAAGAAAACCCACTCCCATACGCTATGAAGAATTGTTGTGTGTGAAACAAGAAAAAAGGCAAGAGGAGTTCCAGGGGCAGTAGTGGACCTTTATCATGACATCCCACAAAAAGTTAGACTTTGCAATTGGCTGCTTGCACTCTGCTTAACTCCACCTTTATTTGCTTTAGAGAAAAGTGTGGGTTTATCAGTCGTAGGGTGACCTCAAATATTTTCATATCCAATGAAACTCAGAGAACTTCTTTTCATCCCTAGTCTTCTCACCTTAATGGCTATAGCAAAAGCATTCAGAGAGAAAAGAAATTGGATAACGTATCTCCTCAGTGTAGGAGATGTGGAGCTGTCCATACCTAATAATACAAAATAAATGCACATTAAAAATAACCTGAAATGCCTTTGTATGCATCTTATAAACCCAAGAACCTTGTGGACATTGATCCAATAATATACCTCACGTTCTAATTTTGATTTCTTTAAAAATTAATACAAGATAACTTGGTCAGTCTATAAAAAGATTAACCTGAGTTTCTCAAGTGCACCAAATTCAAGTTCAGAATACTTTGTTCATATATTAAAAAATTAATAAATAGAACTTCTTATGGTAGAAAAAGTCAGTAAGTGTCTCAGCAGAATTATCTGGAAAATTAATTTCTTGAAATGCAGAAGTGGTTTACTAAATGATTACATGTCTGAATGGACTTTACACAATCCAAACATGTCTTTTGTGATACTCTGAATGCTCTCAATGCTGCAAGACCAACAAAGTTTGTCCAAGTTTACAGCAAGTAATCTGTCCTTGCATATGTAGTAGGCAAACTTTCATTAAAGCATATTAGGAAGCTCTTAGATCATTAATTTATCTGGCACCACGTCACTTGCCGAACTTTTAAGTGTAAAAATTTGGTTTCTGAGTCATGGTTTTGGAAGCTGCAGTAACAGCTCAGAAAAATCTATCCTTTAGGTAGTAGAAAACCTGGAGAGCTGCAAAGATGTATGATATATACGCTTTTAAACTTCAAAATAGGAAAGAGAGAACCCATCAACAGACCTTTTGTATGTGCATGTTGTTTTCTTCCTCTCCCGAGCACTTAGGTAACTATAAGGCAGCTAAAATCAACACACAAAATGTCAGGTTTGAAAGGACATGTGCAAAGAAACTATTTTGGACTAAGGATGTGGTTCAAAGCACTGACTGTACTAACAGTTTGTCCAGTAATGTATCAGCTGAAATAAAAGCATGGGGTTTGGTCTTCAGGTGAGCAACAGATTCAGAACAAGATGGCATTTTAACTTGAGATAACATTCACAATTTTATGCTTCTCTGCTGATATCAGGCATGATTTATTGGGGGGGGAGGGGAATAGAAGAGAAGAAAACATGTTGGAAAGGGGGCTAATGGTGCTGTAGACATTGCATTACCCTAACTGGGTTGTCTGCGAGCATCAGCATGGTGGCAGCCACATACTTTCTGTTACTGTAGAACAGGTAGAAATTGATAACATTTTCTATCTCCCTGTATTCACAGATACTGTGAATTCACTACTCCCTGTAGTCTCCTCAGATCCTGGCTCTTAATTAGAATCCCATTTTTGCTTTGCCCTGCCAGCTATACTAAAATAAATGAAGCATATCTTGTAACCAATGGTCAAAGACAGTTATGTAGGTGAAGTTCTTTTCAGATAGTGCTAATTAAGCAAAACAATAAAATGACCATAATCAATATGCACAAGAAGAAAACTAATTTTACAGAGTGCTAAAAGCTTCAGGGAAGATTGCGCTTTTTCTGTAAATTTATGCATTCTTCATTGTATCAGCTACTGTTGCAGAAATGTTACAGTTTATTTTGAAATCCAGTCATCTGTCTATGATGAACCCGCATCTACTTCACATTGCTGGTTTTTGTATTATTATTCTAATAACTTTCTGGAGCAGCATTTTTATAACTAATACCTGTGAAAAAGGCAAGGGTTCTCTGAGCTCTTTGCAAAGTTTGTACAGGGTTTCATGAAGTATTATCTCTCAGTATGAAAGTGAGAGGGAAGAATGTTCATCCAAGAGAGGATATGGGGAAGAAAAGGTTGTATTTGGCAAGTGCTGAATTGTTTAATAGATATGTGTAGACTTTAGTGTGGTTTAATTTCAGTGTGGTACCCAAATTAATACATTAATTGTTTGAAGGTTAGCTTAATAGAGCCATTTAAACAAAATTGTTTCCTTTTTTATCTTCTTTTCATGTCTAGGTTAAATACTTGAAATAGAGATGACACTGTATAGAAAAGGAATACGTATCTAGGCAAATTATTTTCTATTTCTGCTACCTGACTTTACGTTTCCACTGACATCCACTGAAATGTCCCATTTTTACTTTAGTAACCAAGTAATTCGCTGATATGAACAGTTTGTACTAAGATCCCTATCTCGATTGCCCTGGTGTACATCTAGAGGAACATAACTTCTGTGGGATTGCTCTAGATTTACAGCATCCAAGTTTTACCAGAATTGGTCCTCTGTGTTGAAGAAACCTATTTGATGGTAAATAAAATCCTCACCTTCCCTCCAATCCCTCACCTGTGGCTGACTGACCCTTGAAAAACATCAGTGGAGAATGTCTTGTCTTGGCACAGAATATTGAATCATTTCCTTAACTGAGAAGTTAATTTTTCTTCAGTGTTTCTTTCCTCTTTTTACCCTGCTGACATGTTCAGCACAAAAGAAGCTTTTTTTATTTGTATGGCTTCAAATTGTTTCAGCTTTCCTGATTTTTAAAAGCAGGGAGGCTTTTCCAACGGCAGTTTACTTCTCTGGTAGTTATGTGACAGCAGGTTATTTTTGAGGAGACAGTAGAAACCAGAGCTGCTGGCATAGCTCAAGCAGTGGCTTTCTCCCGTAGCTCATGCCTGGCCCCTCTTGAAGAAAGATCACGGTGTGGATGCTGAGGGCATACCTGAACCACAGACTTCAAGGTTTAGGGAAGGCAGAATTGGGCAGATTGCCAAATAGCCATACTAGATGACCCTCTTCTTGCAGGCTGGTTGGTTCTCCAGGCAAGTCAACAGACAGCTAATACAAAATTAAGCAGTATGGTTATTTCCAGGCAGCTTTCTTGTCTGCTGTGAAATCTGTGTGTAGATGCTGAAATTTTAACTGTTGTTTACCTTTGCTGAAAATGCATTGGGAAAGTATTATTTATCTTACAACAACGTGGAAGTAGTTTTTGTGCCAGTTACATGTTCTCTCTTTGGATAGCAGAATGCCGCTGGATAGCAGAATGCCATTGGACAGCCAAAGCTTGTTTGCTTACACTATGTCCAGGCAGCAGTTGCCACCTTTGGGGTGAATATAACAGCATTGCTGCTGCAGAAAGATTTACCCTCTGTTATGGGAGGATGTAGAATTCCTTTAATGACATGGTTGTAAGGACTTATTTTTGTACCAAAAATGCCCTGAATGGAAAGGCTGAAGTCCAGAAGTCCATCTATAAGGCATGTGCTTCTTTATGTGAATTTGTAATCAGTTCCTTTATTTTAAATGCGTGCAAGTTTATCTTCCCTCTTGGTAACAGTTCCGCTTTCCCTTGGTGTTTTGCTGTAGTCAGCTGAAAAGCCAGACATTGAGATCATGTTCCAGTTGTTTCTGGGCATCTCTGGTATTCATCAGCCCCTTTTTGCTGTCCTGTAAGTAACTTTTTTCTTATGCTCTCATTTTCCATATTGTATTATCTATCTCTTTTAAGTCTGCTTTTAAAACGTACTTTAGCAACATTTCATAAGCATCTACCATTCCTAAAGAAGTTTAGTTAAAAGAGCTGTGTTTGTTTCCTTACTGCCTTGAACAAACTAAGCAAACAGAGAAATTCCCCTTAATTTCAACTTGTAGCCTTGCCAATGTACTCCTGTTCACTGGGCGTTACACACTGTGGAAGTCACCTTTGTCTTTTTAGGCTCTCCTTCGAAATGCCAGAGCAAGCATCTATTGGTATAATAAATGTGGTTAGATTAAAAGCCAAAAAGACTCTAGATCATATGTTAAAATTTTGTTCTTTGGCTGTGCTTGTGTGTGCTTTAGGGAGTGCCCTGCTGAGAAGTACAGAAATGGGTTCAATTTCTCTGTTGGGGAGGGGAAGAGGGATTCATCAGGCAAAACCGTGTATGTGGCCCTTAAAATGCAGATTGTCAGGTCAGTCCTGTAGTGACGTATGCATCACAGCCAGGTTTCTGGAGCCCTTTGTGGCCATCAGGAGTCTGAGATGGAGTAGTGGACACAAGCAGCTCTGAAATGAGCAGGAATAGCTGCTTTTGCTTGGTCTTGGCCTTCACACAGTCATCATAAATTTGAGAGACTCTTTGCAGTTTAGGGAGGAGTGCTGAAACTTCTCAGGCAGGAACAAATCTTGCTCTTACTTTTTTCCATCTGTCATCATAAAAGAGTAGGGCTTTATGGAGGGGTATCTGCAGAGATTTATTTTCTGACAGTACTCTCCTTAACCTCCATGTCATTGAACAAATCTGTATTGGTTTAGTTGATGTTATAAGGAACAGAATGTGCCCCATGTTTTTAAAATGAGAAAAGCATACAGGTCTGTTCAGTGAAAGGTCGTGCCTATTCATCTGCAATCAAGAAAATGCAGAACTATTTCTGCACTTTTTAAAGAAAAACAAAAGTTATAAATAAAACAAACCTTTCAACTGCTCATTTTAAAGTGAGACATAAAAATGTAGAAGAAGGTTTCCTATCATGCCCGTAGTCTTTAGTAGCTCTTCAAGAACAAGAGGTTATCTGCAGAAAGACTCCCCTGAAGTCTCACCATATGCAGTTTTCCAGCCAGATTCATGCAAGACTCTAGGGATGAGGTGTAGGCTCTACTGAACTCCAGTGCTAAGTGGTGTTTAGAAAAAGAGAATCCACTATCTCTAAGGATATGCACTTATCAGGAGACCATGGCAAGCAACCTTCTTATTTTTGACCTTTTGAATATATAGGTCTTAATGCAGAAGTAAATGCCAGTACATAAAACAAGGAGTAAATGTTTTGAGTGCTACAACATCAGCATAATCCCTCAATGATCTGCATTTGTCAGTATCACTTCCAGGTTTTGGTTTGAAATGCTCAACTCATATTTCCACTAAAAAAAAAATAAAATCTCCTGGAGTTTCCAGTTAAACCTAGTGATTAAAGCACTCGCCATATCCATAGTAACTCAAACTGACTGTCCTCCCACACGGTGCCAGCCCCTAACTGTTGGCAAGCAACTCTTCAGGAGCTCTTCAGCAATCTCTCTCTTGACTAAACCTAGTAAAAAAGTTTCATTAAAATTGATGTGATTCAGGAATGGCATGGTTCCAACAGACCTCTGTGCAGTGGAAGTGCAGATTCTTCTATAGTGAAAAACAGTTTTCAAGATGAAAATCCTATCCAATTCAACTCCAAAAGGAAGTAACATTTGCTTAGACCTATCTTGCTTGTTGCTTTTGCTACTCCTAATGGAAGAATGGCTCTGATGGCTCTGCTCTAACATGTCAGAATTAAACCCACCTCTCACTCAGAATACAGTAGACTAAACATTAAACTAAAATTGAAAAGACCAGGAGAAAGTGAACTGATTAAACTTTTAAACCCAAAAGATTCAGTATGTGGAACTTCTACTTAAATATTGTTTGTATGACAAGTAGGAATAAGACTTGATTGCTTGTTTATGTTCTGGTGTCATTCCTCCACTTTTCCTTAAGCATCAATGGCCCATGAAGATTAATACAGTTGAATAAAAGTTCTGGGGCTCCTGACATCCCAGCTAAAATACCTTAAGGGTCTAGCCGTACTTAGAATCATAGACTCGTAGAATGTTTGGGGTTAGAAGGGATCCTTAGAGGTCATTTAGTCCAACCACCCTGCCAAGGGCAGGGACATCAGCAACTAGATCGGGTTTCTCAGAGCCCTATCCGAACTGACCTTGAATGTTTTGAGGGATGGGGCATCCACCACCTCTCTGGGCAACTTGTGCCAATGTTTTACCACTCTCTGTAAAAAACTTCTTCCTTATATCGAATCTAAATTGACCCTCCTTCAGTTTAGAACCATTACCCCTTGTCCTGTCACAACAGGCCCTGCTAAAAAGTTTGTCCCATCTTTCTTCTAGGCCCCTTTTAAGTACTCAAAGTCTGCAAGTACTTCATTCAAATAATTTATAAAAAGCACATTTTTCTCTCTGCTGTCGTCTCTTAAATCATCCTGTATATACTGATTGTTTCCCATAGCCTAATTGTCTTTTGGGATCTAAATACACCTTTTTTTGGTCCCTATTTGAAGCACTTTACCCAGGTGCTGTTTACTGAAACATCATTTACCAAAATGGAAAAGATTCTTTTAAAGTCATCTGCCTTAATCTGAGATAATTTTAATTGAATTATTTAAAATACATAAATTCAACTGTGTGCAAATTACCTGACTGCCAGCCTCATGCATGCCTTGGGAAGGTCTGTTTGGTGCTTGTTCTTGAACAACAGATCGGTTATAATATTTGGAGGTAGGGATTTGCTTTTAGGGCTTACTTTTTCTGAGAGACAATAATTTTCTTCAATTGCCAAGTAAGATCAGTGAGATTCTAAAATAATTTCCTAAGTATATTTTACTAGAATTTTGATTGAAATACATCTTTTTTTTTTTTACCAAACTAGTCTATAACTGTGAAGCCCTAAGATAAGAAGGTTGTTTTAATGTCCTAGGCTAAGGGTGTGGGAAAGTAATAGAGATGATTCATATTCTGATAAAATAGAAGTATATTGAAATGCTAAAGAAATTAAACATGTTTAGGCTTGTAACTAATATGAATTTTAGACCTGTTCTCCTAGGAAAAAGAGAGACTCTAAAATAGCATGAAAGTCAGCCAGGTTTATAAATTGCTGTGATCGATGGTATCCTTTCAGCAGAGTCACAGAGGAAACAAATGGAATCATCTAAAAATAGGAAGGCAAGAGCAAGTATAGTACTGCAGACAAACCCTTCACCTGAAGTGTAAAGTTAATCCAAAATAAATTGGATAATCATATAGCCTATTTGTTTCTATCATTAGTCCTCAGGAGACTGTGAGTTGTGGATTTTTTATTTATTTAATTTCTCTCATCGGTGATATTCAGTGGAGTAGTAGCTCATTCCCAGAAAATGTAAGAACAAGATGCTCTCAAATATTTGTGCCCCATATTCCTTGTTCTGTGAGAAAAGTTTTCCCCCAATCTCAGAATTTTCTAGAAGAGGAGTAAGTCTGAGGTTTGCATTGTTCTGATCCTTTGTGCCTGTGCGTGTAAATACTCTGCAGTCTCTGACCTTTATCTGTGCAGTCACAGATTTTTTGGTCTGCAGATAAGCAGGGACTGTATCATCAGGTGTCTGATCCTCTGGAGACAACTCCTATCACCAAATTTGAGTGGGACAAATCCAATTCATTGGTCTGCTCTTGAATGTCAAAGAGCTCATTCCTAGTACTGTCTCCTGTCTGTATTAGCAAATTTCAGTGGAAGCAACAGAAGCCTTGCAATTAGATGAAGCCAAGTACATGCAGAACTGCAGGATCAAATTGTAAACCTCTACTATCAGGATATGTTTCAGGGAATTGTAATTGATTGAAATTTTTTTTCTTGCATGTTAAAGTCTATTGTAAATATAATTGAGAAAGTCTTGTGAATCAAGGTCATTGTTTATATTATAAACCTAAAGGAAGACAGATTTCTTGAATCTCAGTCTATTTTCTTAGTGAGTCACCATGGGAGGGGGCAAATTTTTCTACCTGTAATTTCATTAAAATCAGAAAAATAGGATACTGGCAAGATTGAACAGGTAAACTCTAGAGGATATAATCTGAGTGGAATTGTATTAGAGTAAGCATGATGTATGCTGGAGAATGAAATGAAAATGAAAAATTAGTCATTTAATATTGAAGAAATACTGTTTCTGAGGCAAAAGTTTATGCTAAAGCATAAATAAAATATTAATTGAACATACAAAGCAGGAACTGAGGGTCTAGATTTAAAACTCAATTTTCAAAGACACTGCAGCAAAGTCATATAACTACTCAAAATGTAGCCATATGTCCTATTGATTTTTAATCTTTATGAATCTTAAAATCACTGACATGTTGAGCACAGCAGTAGGAAACTTCAGTGTCTCATTAAAGGCTTCTTCAGTGCACCAGGTTGACTTGCAGTTGGGAGTTAGCTCCATTTTGTTTGCTTTAGACTTCACTTGCCAAATGGCTGTTTGCTGCCTGCGCATACTTTAAAAGTCACCTGATTACTGTGAAAAGCACAGTGTTTTCCTCTTTGTTGGTTCATCTTCCCCTGAGGGCAAACTGAACCAAAATGATTTTGTAGAACTTTCCAGCACCACTGGTGGCCTAAGGACATGGTCAAGACAGAGTTCTTAGGGAAAGAAAATATTTTTTTATTAGTTAGAAAAATGTAATTGGAAAAGCTTTTGGGTATACCAGCAAAGATGTCTTTATAGGATTATTCTGCAATAGTTCACTTATATTTCCAAAATTAAAGAGTTTTTACTACCCTTGAAGTGAGTTAATAAAATAATATTTTATTACCTAATTAAAAATTTATTGAGTTGAGCAAACATGGTTTTCTTTCCAACATCCTATCCAGTGAAGAATGCCAAATTAAGTATTTTGGATTGGATT